AGCTGAATGTATTTTTATTTTTTTTAAGATTTTATTTATATATTTGACAGAGAGAGACACAGCGAGAGAGGGACCACAAGCAGGGGGAGCAGGAGAGAGAGAAGCAGGCTTCCCATGGAGCAGGGAGCCCGATGCAGGGCTCGATCCCAGGACCCTGGGATCATGACCTGAGCCCCTGAATGTATTTTTAATACAACATGGCCTCTCTCCCATGCCTCCTGCATTGAGCAGTATCTCTTCATATAAACAAACAAAAAGATTTAATGTACCTTTCTATATCAATTTGCACAGCCTTCCAAAACACCTTGCACAAAGGAAGCATTCAAATTGTTTTAAAATTGAATTAAATAAGAGGTGTTTAAGTCTCTTAGTAATTCCCACAAATTTGAGGAGGGAAATATACAAATCTTTTTAAAATAACATAAACATGTCTCTCTCCTTGTGGAAGAGGAATGGGCAATAGAAAAAAAGTAGAGCAGTAAGAGAGATGGGAATTACTCAAAAATGTTTTGTTGATCACACTAGTGGATTCAGTGGATATCTCATCAGACCTTTCAATTTACAAAGCCTTGACAACATAAGTGTGCAAAATTTGGAAGGGCTGGATCTATGGGAAAATAATGGGTGTATTCACCTTTGAAGTACCCACTGTTCCATTCATGTGGGTACCAATTATGTCTAAGCACTGTCTTCAAAAGTCATCTAGCTTCTATAGCTCTTATTTTCTTCCAATCTCAAAAACCTATTATTCTTTATACTTGAAGACCTCCTATAGAACCAAGGGTCTAACCATTAAAGCAAAAGGTAAAGATATCCAATGGAAAAACTCAAAGTAATGATTTTATTATCTCTTCCCAGTGACCTTTTTCCCTCTGGGGGCCACCAAGAATAGAGCTGTAAAGTCCATGGCATATGTATGTTAAAATACACGTGAAGCCGTAGATTAGGAAAAATTCACTATTTTATTTAATAAAATGCTGTAATCCCATCTAAGTTTTCCACATAGCTTCATGTTAACTGTATGTCTATAGGCTATCACATATTTCAGTTCTACAACAGTAAGGTTTAAACTAGTATGAGCAAAAATTAAATAAATCCCATAACAGATAATAAGGAAACAGAGGTCAGGCTGAGTGGCTATGATGCCCTATAAAACTACAAAATTAAGCAAGGAAATAAAAACTTCAGTACATTTTAAAAGTGAATCAGCCCTGGGGTGCCTGGGTGGCTCAGTCGTTAAGCCTCTGCCTTCGGCTCAGGTCATGATCCCGGGGTCCTGGGATCGAGTCCCACATCGGGCTCCCTGCTCGGCGGGAAGCCTGCTTCTCTCTCTCCCACTTACCCTGCTTGTGTTCTCTCTCTGGCTGTCTCTCCCTGTCAAATAAATAAATAAATAAATAAATAAATAAATAAATAAATAAATAAATAAAATCTTAAAAAAAAAGTGAATCAGCCCAAAAAAATTGAAGATAGCTCTATTCACAATAGCTAAAAGGTGGAAACAACCCAAATGTCCATCAACTGATGAATGGATCAACAAAAATGTAGTGTCTCCATACAATGGAGTATCACTCAGCCATAAAAAGGAGTGAAGTACTGATCCATGCTACAACATGGATACACCTTGGAAAACGTTATGCTGAGTGAAAGAAGCCAGACACAAAAGGCCACATGTTGTGTGGTTCCATTTATAGGAAATATCCAGAACAGACAAATCCATAGAGGCAGTCAGTGGATTAGTGGTTGCCAGGAGCTGGGGAGAGGAGAATAGAGGGGTATGGAAGAGTGGGGAGTGACTGCCCAAAAGGTACAGGATTTCCTTTTGGGGTGATTAAAACGTTCTGGAACTAAACAGTGGTAATGGTTGCACAACATTTTGACGTCCTTAATGCCACAGAATTATATACTTTAAGATAGTTGAAACAGTGATTTTTATGTTATGTGAATTTTACCACTTTCAAAAAAAAAGGGGTTTCAACTTTCCATTTTACTCTAGAAATAAGAATTGGAACACAGTCTATCCTACTTAACCTAGCATACACACACTGAACACCTTTATTCTGGCCTAGGGATTCAGAACATGGTTTTGCTGTCTATGCATTCCTTAGCCAAACTACTTAAACTCTCCGAATCTCCCTATCTATAAAACAGGCATACTAATAGCATCTATCTTACACAGATGTTGCAAAGATAAAATGGAGATAATATAATCTAAGCACAGTGCCAGGTAAGAGTAACTGAAAAACAAGTTAGTTATAATTTCCCCAGAAACTATGCGATCTTCAATGTTAGAAATAAAACCTTACCTAGATCAAAGATTGTTGCAGTATCATTTGTGGACCTTTGGAGGTCCCTGAGACTCTTTGAGGGGAGTCCATGAGGTGAAAACTGTATTTATAATAATTGTAGGACATTATTTGTCTTTTTCACTGTAATGACATCTACATGGACAGTGCAAAAGCAATGCTGGGTAAAACTGTTGGCACCTTAGCATGAATTAAGACAGCAGCATCAAATTGTACTAGCAGTAGTATATTCTTCACTATAAATCCACAGTTTAAAAAAAAAAAATCTAGTTTCATTTATCCTTGATGAAACAGTAAAAATCATCAATTTTATTAAATCTCAGGCCTTGAATACATGCCTCTTTTTTAAGAATTTATTTATTTATTTGAGAGAGAGAGAGAGAGAGAGCATGTGCAGAGGAGGGGCAGAGGGAGAAGCAGGCTCCTCCCTGACCAAGAAACTCAACAGGACCTGAGCCGAAGGCAGATGCTTAACCGACTGAGCCACCCAGGCGTCCCAAATCCATGCCTTTTTACTATCCCTGTGGGATAAACTGGCAGTATGTATAAAGCAGTTGGGCTGTATATCAAAGTAGATGGCCGTCGGGAGGAAAAGCACTTGTGAGGTTGTCAGAGCTGGAGCTGAGCTAGCCTCTTTGTCCATGAACACCATTTGTATTTGAAAGAACGACTGACAAATTACAGTTATTCAGACGTGGTTATTTGACAGACATTATCTCAAGAAAGAACTTCAAGGAAAACAGTATTTTTGGCCAATAATCAAATTCAAGCTCTCAAGTGAAAATTAGAATTTTAGAAAATGTGTATCTGCTACCATGAGCTTGACAGCAGCTTCCTAATACTTAAAGACTGTGATAAAATTAGTAGCACAATTAATACATTTTTAATATTGCATAATGAAATTTGTCAACATTTGGAAGATCTGCAAAACTCAGTGAACCAATATTTTCTAAATGACCAATACAAAACTGTACATAGGTTAAAGATCCAGTCAAAATGCAAAAGAGACCAACGGATTTTAATGCAAGAGTATGAAATGTTCACTGATCTCATTTCTGATTTCACATTGCAAATGACCTTTTCGAAACTGTAATCTGTCAAGTTTTAGTGTAGTACCAAATATCCAGAATTATCCGAAGACTATTAAAGTATTCTTCATTTTCCCAAATACCTTTCTGTGTGAGTCCAGATTTTCTTATATACTTCAATCAAAACAACATAATGCAACAGAATGAACACAGAAGCAGTTTTAAGAACCCACCTGTCTTCTATTAAGGAAACTTACAAAAATGTGAAACAATGTCCATCTTCTCACTAAATATTTTTGGTTTGGGAAATAGATTTCTCATGAAAAATATGTTATTTAGGTAAACAAAAAATATCTTATTACTATTTTTAATGAACTATCAAATGTTAAATTTTGCAATCTTAACTTCCAATTAAGGTAAATATTAATAACTATAACCCATATAGAAAAAGGCTCTTTGGTGTCCTCAATAATTTTTAAGAAATTAAAGTGATTATGTGACCAAAAAGTTTGAGAACTGCTACCTTATCATTCACTGTTTTTGTTCACAATACTGAAAAGTAATCTACCCCATACACAGCAGCCCTACAACATGGTGAAGACATTTGGACAGCCACAGCTCACAACACAAAGTAAATGAAGCATATCAGATAGCAAATTCCAACCTGGTAGAAATGTTTGGGGAACAAAGGAACAATGTGCCCCAATTTTTAAGGCAAGGTCATTAGTATGCTATTTAGGCACATGCCAGGTATCTAAGAAAAGACAAATCTGGTCCAAAACACACACAACACCTGATTCTGTATCGTCTTTTCCTACCTTCCTCCCAAAATTCACTTCCAATTGAACTGAGATAGGAGATAATTGAGATTATCAATTTGAATTGAGATAAGAGAAACCTTACAAGGGATCCTCTACAAAAGCAAATCAATCTGGGGGCCTGCCTAGAGACTGTGATTTTCTCTAGAGGGTTTCTGTGAGCTCTGTTCTATCCTGCCTTAATAAAAAGACCACAAAAACAAACTTCCAATTCAAGTTTGGCTCCTCTGCTCACTGAAGACCTTGACTAGACTAATAAATGGTGTTAATATTGGAAATAGCTCTGGATGTCTAGGCTAGCCTCAGAAATAGCCTGGGTTGCAGACCGAGAATCCCTACAAGTGATCTAAGTGTGATAATAACACTAGTAAAAAACAGTAAACATTTGTTGATGTGTGTTTTGAGGATGTTTGCATGCGCTAAGCATTGTTCTAAGCATTCATGTAAATTAACTTAATCCTAATAATCTTAGAGTTATCCCCATTTTGTCCTGGTATTCACTAGATCTGCATTATGTCACTTTTGCAACTACCATACTAAATAAATGCCATCCTCCCTGCCTCCTGTAACCCTGAAAAACATGAAGAAAGGACTGAGCTCATAAAAACTAGATTGCTATAATCAGTATCTACCACCCAAGTAACTCGATCATTATCAGATTAAAATCGGATACTTTTCCTACAACAAATTCCTCTCTTAAGATATTAGCTTCCTATTTTAAGAAAAGAAAGAATTGACACTCTCTACAATAATAAGGTCTCAAAGAAAAGGAATCAAAACTTGTTGAACTTCTAGGAATACTTTGAGGAACTTCTTGATGGAAGCAAAGAAGCATTCCAGAAACATACCTGTTGGAGCCATCTTTCATATGGACTTTGGCATAAAGAACATCCACCACGCCAGGATCATCGTTCATGTATTCTATCCCTGCCATCTCTACTTCTAGGGGTTTCCCCCCAGAAATGTCACTGCAAAGGAAAAAACATTACATTTTTGTAATTGTTTAAGCTAAGGGCCATTATATTTTAAACATGGTTATTATACATAGTCAAATATTACAAAAATGAAATTGTTGGGGTTTTTTTTACTAACAGTATTATCTAATCATCCTTCTAATTTCAAAATTAATATGTTCTATGTAACCAACTAGAAACACAATTATTTCCAAAGTCACACTATAGTTATCTCAATACCAGTTTATTAGTACTCAGAGGGAAAAAGCCAAGGAATGACAGTTCTGATTGACAAAGACATTCACTCTGTTGCTCATCTCCCGGGTTTTATTTCATTATTTCTACAACCTGCAAACACCATTTTACTCATCTAACAATGGTGGAGGCATAAAGTAGTATCACATCTTTAACAGCAATTTGGCAATATTTATAAAAAGCCTTCAAGAATAGAAACCCTTTTTTGTCCAAGCAATCCAATTTCTAGGAGCCAAACCTAAGGAAATAATTATGAATTCAGCTACATTCAGCTACATATCCAATCACAGCTGATAAAGGAAAGCTCTTTACAGAAGAATTCCAACTGATAAATACAGAAAAATTCCAACTGATAAATGCAGAAGTAATGACGAAATTAGAATATCACCATTTTGCAACCCCTGACGAAATAATGGATGAAGACAATGATTAGCAATGGCTGCTGAAACTTAACAGCAAAAGATTGGAGAAATATAAGGAGATCCCTATAGAGGGCTGACCACACCTGAGCCCACTGATCAGGCTTACCACACAACACAAAAAAGAACAACCAGACAATACATACTTTCTGATATGATGTAATAGGTTATACTCATACTCCATGAAAAATAATTTATGCATAGGGTTTGACTGAGGCATTGTCTGGAGCAGCCAAAGATTGGCAAAAGATTAAATAAATACTCATTAGGGTTTTAAGAAAAGCTGCACAACAATGTGCATGCTATATATTACTATTTGTGCAAAAGATGGGGTAAGAAAATTTACATATATATATATATACACATATATGTATACATTTCCTTGTACATAAAATTTCTGGAACGATAAAAGAAACTCCTAAAATCTGTTGCCTTTAGAGAGGAGAGCAGGGTGCTTGGTGCGAATAGCAGTAGAAAGGAAACTCTTCACTGTATATCCTTTGTATCTTTAAAATTTTGAACCATACAAATGTATTATCCATTAAAAAGTTAATAAAAATATAGAAGCAAAAGAAGCCAAACACAAGTTTATCTACTGCACATATATGCAAAAGAAGCCAAACACAGAAATGTATATATTGAATGATTTTATTTATATGACATTCAAGAACAAGCTAAATTAATCTATGGAAACAGAAATCAGAACAGTTATTTCTGGAAGAAGTAAATTTACCGGAAAAGGTCATGAGGGAACTTCACAGAGTGATGACAATGTACTACATCTTGATTTGGCTGAAGTTACATGAGTGCATGCACTTGTTAAAATTCATCAACTACTCTTAAGATCTGGGCATTTTACTATAAGTCAATTACACCTCAAGAAAAAATACACACATACATATAAAAAAGTGTGAGAGCCTTAATAGTAATTATCTTCAAGTAGTAAGATTAAAAGTGATATTTTTGTATATCTGCAACTTTGACTTTTCCAAAACTAGTATTACTTTATTTTAATTGAAGTATAACTGAGATACAGTATTATATTAGTTTCACGTGTGCACGTTATTATTTTTCTGTTAAGTAAAGCCTCACCATCCTTCTTCTTCCCAGACCCCTTACACAGACTTATACTTCAACCAGAAATGGCCTTGCAGTGCCAAGCTGAAACCCAGTTAAAAATCAGCTCACCACCATAGTCTTCTGCAAGCCCCATGAGGCCAGGAAGTCTATCCATCTTGTCTACTCCTATATCCCTAGCACCTGGTACAGTACCTTCTATAAAATAGGTACTCCATAAATCTCTGTTAAACACTGATCAGATGTTCTACTCTAAAGAGAGAAACTTTTCTAGACAATTTTGAGAAGAATGTGGACACATCCCTATATGTCATTGAAAACCATGTGGTACTACTCAAAGACAAAAGGATGTTAGGACCCACCAAAAGGCAATTCCCAAAAAAGCAAAACAAAAAAGTTCTCTTGATATTGAACCAAGGCCATAGGGAGACCCTTTGTAGCCTAGGAATCTTCATGGTAAAGATTCTCTTAGGGGCGCCTGGGTGGCTCAGTCAGTTAAGCGTCTGTCTGCCTTCAGCTCAGATCATGATCCCAGAATTATCGAACCCCACACTGGACTCCCTGCTCAGTGGGGAGTCTCCTTCTCCCTCTCCCTCTGCCTCCCCTCCTTCTCAAAAAAATAAAATCTTTTTATTTTTAAAGATTTTATCTATTGGGGCGCCTGGGTGGCTCAGTTGGTTAAGCAACTGCCTTCGGCTCGGGTCATGATCCCAGAGTCCTGGGATCGAGCCCCGCATCGGGCTCCCTGCTTGGCAGGAAGCCTGCTTCTCCCTCTCCCACTCCCCCTGCTTGTGTTACCTCTCTCACTATCTCTCTCTGTCAATTAAATAAATAAAATCTTTAAAAAAAAAAAAAGATTTTATTTATTTATTTGACAGAGAGACACAGCAAGAGAGGGAACACAAGCAGGGGGAGTGGGAGAGGGAGAAGCAGGCTTCCCGCGGAGCGGGGAGCCCAATGTGGGGCTCGATCCCAGGACCCTGGGATCATGACCTGAGCCGAAGGCAGATGCTTAATGACTGAGCCACCCAGGTGCCCTCAAATAAATAAATCTTAAAAAAAAAAAAAAAAGGATTCCCTTAAAACTTCAAGACCATATTATTGCACAAGACCAGGATTTCTTTCAGTAAGAAACTAAATAACTATTTTGGACAGATATTCGAGAAAAATTATTGCCTTCATCTAAGTAGCCTTATTACCACCTCTAATAAGTGGGATATTCCAAAGCACAAGCCAAGCTCTAAACTACTACCTGAGGCCTGTAGCTTCAACCAATAACACAGTGTATCTCATTCTAAGTAAAGCTAAAGAATTCAATATGAAAAACTGCCATTCAATCCTATCAAAGTGCAGCCAACCAAACTTACATGAGGAAAACAGTTTAATACTAACCATACATTCCTCTACTGGCTTCAGCTCTAACCCTGCATAACCACACCATTGGTTTAGTTTCCCACTAAAAGGTTTTTACTGGGGGTGCCTGGGTGGGTCAGTCGTTGAGCGTCTGCCTTTGGCTCAGGTCACGATCCCAGGGTCCTGGGATCGAGCCCTGCGTCAGGCTCCCTGCTCCGCGGGAAGCGTGCTTCTCCCTCTCCCACTCCCTCTCCCACTCCCCTTGCTTGTGTTCCCTCTCTCGCTGTGTCTCTCTCTGTCAAATAAATAAATAAATAAATAAATAAATAAATAAATAAATAAATAAATAAAATGTTTTTACTGGATTATGTCTAATGTTATACCCTCAAATTCTAGGGATCTATCCAAAAGAGAACCATGTGAACAATGTTTTTGTATCTTCCATAAAATTCCTGTTGAAGACACTGCTCATCATCATTTTAGGTTAATATTTACATGACAAGTTTTCCTTGGATTGAGAAAGAGCAAAGGATTCTCTCCTAAAAACTTGTTATGTTCCTTTTTATCAGATAAGAACTAATAATAATCGATGTGTTTCCTTCTGGAATGTAGTTCAAGTATACCAGTGCTTGAAAACTACTAAATTCTATTCCTCAAGTACAATTATAACCTTTCCTTGGTTTTCAGGTAAACATTTTCTCCCATTCCATCTTTATGGTTTCTGAGCTCCCCGACTTTAACATTTCTTTTGCATGTATGTCCTCACCCCGAACCACCTCAAATCTTTAGAATGAGATGCAGTACCAAGAACAACAAAAAATAAAAACAATGAAACAGATCTAAAACCTGCCTTAGGAGTAGGATCAGAAACTCTTCTGACCTTCCCTAGGATTTACCAAGAGGGAGAGAAATTCGGTGGTTTGCCTGGTAAATGCTCTTTGTCTTGATGACAAAACTATGCCACCCAGGACACCAGTGAGCATACTTTTCAACTGAGTGACATCTGAGGCAATGATTAGGAAGCAACATTTGTCCATGGATATTTTTCCTCTTCTCTCCTTGTTCTTGTCCCTTTTTACCTTATTATTTGGTGTTAGCTCAGGCCTATGGGGAACACTTAGGTATGAGAAAAGTGATACTGGAATTTAAAAGTACTGCATATTTGTCAGACTATATACTCAGAGCCATTGCACTGTTTGTGCTCTACATCTCACAAAGAAAAGTCACAAGGGAGACATTTAGAGCTTCAGCATTTACTGAACACTGAATAATTCATTTGAAATCGATAGAGCTACATGAGCCGTTAGCTTAAGAACTGAAATCAAAGTTCTGTTTCTGGTAGGTAACATTCCTTACACTCAAAAAACATCCCAAAATTTAAAACAAATATTCAACTACCCATCTCTTTAAAATACTTATATAGCAGCACAGTTTTAATTCAATCTGACTCTAGCCCATTTAACACCTCAATTTAAAAAGCCATCTAAGTACTACAGGATGTTATATATTAGTCTGTTCAATTTCAGTGTTTTCCTTTCTTATATTTTAATTTGGAATCTTTACATCATAAAAGGTTCGGATTAGAAAGGCCATTATTTACTGACAGTCTTAAGTATACCAAGTACAAAGGCTGAGATCAAAGATTAAGAATAAGGAAGGGAAAAAAGTTAAATGACATATTTTACTCACCAGGGCTATTATATAAGTGTGTGTGCATGTGTGTGTTCGCACGCACGTGTGTGTGTGTGTGTGTGTACATGTACTTTTCTTTAGGAAACATTTTTTCCTTTTAGGGAAACAAGGCACTTCTAACCAATCTCAACAGCCAATTCTGATTCTCATTCTCAGAAATAAATTAATTTTGCACTATGTACTTTTTAAACAAGTTTACGCAGCAGAGGAGGTGGAAAAAGAGGCCTGGGGAGGCTTACGTTACTTGCTGGTTTTAAATCTTTCCAGCTTTTTGAAAAAAGCATCTTCAAAAAATTTTCTGCCTGCACTGCAGATTTTTGGCAGTGTAACTTTGTCCTATTTCAAAAGCTTTGCTGAATTTGAGAAACTACAATTACTGTTTTCATCCTGTCATGTCAAAAATTCTTAGGAATATTAAGGCTGCTCTTCATTTCCTATGCACACCAACCCTGACATGCTTAAAGGGCTCAGATTTGGCATTCAGTCACCAAAGGCACTAAAAGACATAAAATGGAGGAACTCAGCTAAATCCTCCCATAGCTCAGGATAAAGCTTCAGTGATTAAAACCCTGTGACCTGATTTTCATGGGTAAAAAAACAAATACTTCCTCCTTGTGGGTGCCTGGGTGGCTCAGTCGTTAAGCGTCTGCCTTCGGCTCAGGTCATGATCCCAGGGTCCTGGGATCGAGTCCCACATCGGGCTCCCTGCTCGGCAGGAAGCCTGCTTCTCCCTCTCCCACTCCCCCTGCTTGTCTTCCTGCTTTCACTATCTCTCTCTGGCAAATAAATAAATAAAAATCTTAAAAAAACAAAAAACAAATACTTCCCTAAACCAATATTTTATCTACCTTTAAATTTCTTCTTAGCAAGATTATCCTAATGGCAGCCAAGAAAATGCAGCTGCTTTCAGTTACATTTAGCCAAAAAGTGATCTGGAAATAAGTTAAGGTATAAGGACTAACTCTTAAACCAGGTAACATTGCTCCGCTTTGTAAGGTAAAGCATAAAGTTTTATCTTAGGCAAGGAAGTTGTAAATACTTAATTACGAACACCAAATTATTTTGAATTTTAGGTTAAGATGGAGAGAAACAGTTATGTCCATCAGTGAGCAAAGATCAAGACAAAGAAGTATTCTTTGCAGACTGCAAATCCAATCAGCTTATGATTTTGCTCAAGAAAAATATCTTGCCTTCAAAACAACTGGGAAAGGAGAACTGGCCCACATATAAGTCATTATATTACACAGTTTCATACACAACATATACATGAAAAAAATTTTAATCCTTTTACCTTGTCTTATCCAATGAACTAGGGAACCCATTTCTACAAGGCCATATTAAAATAGTATGAGACCTGAATATTATAACTGAATTAAAAAAAAAACCTCTTCAACTGAGTCAGTTTTCCAATTTCTCTTATTCTTCATCAATCTTAAGAAAAAGGAGCAAAGGGTAGGGAAAGGATGATTCTTTAAAATAAAGCTGTTAGGTTAGATATACATGTAAATTAAAATTTTATAGTAAAAAGAATAACAACTCTGCCCCCAGAAGAGCAATGTTTTCCCTGAGCCAAAACAGACTGCTTAGACAGTTTTTGGCATTCTTAGAAAACTACCTGTATTTAAGAAAGAAAATTAGAGTGCATTTCTTGAAATACAATGAAGACCTTTGTAAGGAATCATGTTATATAATGTTTGAGTTACTCTGGTAACAGAATAATGGCTCTCCAGAGAGGCTCACATCTTATTCTCTGGAATTTGTAAATATGCTACCTTACATGGCAGACAGACTTTTGCAGATGTGATTAAGGTTAAGGAGTTTGAGATGGAACGATTATCCTGGATTATCTGGGTGGGCTCAATCAAATCACGAGTCCTTAAAAGCAGTGAACCGTCCCTACTATGGCCAGAGATAAAGATGCGATAACAGAAGGGTCAGAGAGAAGGAAAGCTGCTATTGCTGAAGATGGAGGAAGGAGGTCACTAGCCAAAGAATGTGGGTGTGGCCTCTAGAAGATGGGCTTTAAAAGCAAGGAAATGAATTCTTTCTTTGAGCCCCTAGAAAGGAACACAACCCTGCTGACACTATGATTTTAGCCCATATCAACTACCCCACAGAACTATAAGATAATAAATTTTCACTGTTCTAAGCCACCAAGCTTGTAGTAATGTGTTCACCAGCATAAAAAACTAGTACAGTACCCTATACCCTATAACGGGATGTCCTGTTAACAAAATTTGCCTACTGAACTAGTATAATTTAAGGTAGTCTTTCCATAAAAATTTGTAAATATATGCTTTAAATCCATTTTAACCCTTTCAGACAATGGTCCAATATTAAGTGTTACAACTGGGTGAGTCAACAGACCTTGTTGCCATGTGACAAAAACAAGTTCACCTAAGTGCAAAAACAAGTCTGTGATGCCAAAGAGAAGCCAGTACAAGGTGACCACCCTTCCCCATTCCGGTAGATTACTCACTCAATGAATTCCTCTTTACACCGCTGTAGCATCTCACATGTCTGCTGGATCTCTTGCTCACTCAAAAGCACCAACATCCCAATGGTTAGGTGAAGCTTTTTGGGATTCTGGAAAATGGTGCTATCAACCCCATGATCCTATTATCAAAGAGAGAAAAACAAAAAACTCAGCCCACATTAAAGTAAATGGCAGGAACAAAATTTAGAGTCCAAAGGTAAGCCCACATATCTATGACCAATTGATTTTCAACCAGATGCCAAGACAATTTAATGGAGAAAGAAGAGTCTCCTCAACAAACGGTGCTGGGACAACTGAATAACCACTTGCAAAAGAATGAAATTGGACCCATACCTCATACCATATGCAAAAATTACATCAAAATGGATCAATGACCTAAATACAAGAGCTGAAACCATAAAACTCTTAGAAGAGTTTTCTTAGGGGAAAATCTTTATGACCTTGGACTTGGCCATGAATTCTTAGATAGGAATTCAACAGTATGGGCAACAGAAGACAAAAATAGATAAATGCAACTTCACCTAAATTAAAAACCTTTGTATATCAAATGACACTATTAAGAAAGTGAAAACACAACCTACAGAATGACAGAAATATTTGCAAATCATATATCTGATAAAGGTGTATATCCATAATATATAAAGAACACAACTCCATAACTAGAAAATAAAGAACCTAATTTTTAAAATAGAAAATGAACTTGAGGGGTGCCTAGGTGGCTCAGTCAGTTAAGCATCTGACTCTTGATTCTGGCTCAGGTCATGATCTCAGGGTCATGAAATCGAGCCCCACCCTGGACTTCACCCTGAGCATGGAGCCTCCTTAAGATTCTCTCTCTCCCTCTACCTCTCCCCAACACTCAAAAAAAAAAAAAAAAAGAAAGAAAGAAAATGAACTTGAGTAGACATTTTTCCAAAGAAGAAATACAAATAGCCAACAAGCACATGAAGATGTTCAACTTCGTTAGTCATTAGGAGAATGCAAATCGAAACCACTAAAAGGTACCATTTCATATCCACTAGGCTGGCTATAATCAAAAAAGCAGAAAATAACAAATGCTGGCAAGGATATGCTTAATGGGTACAGAATTTCCTTTTGGGGTGATGAAAATGTTTCAGAATAATACAGAGCTGGTAATTGCACAACTCTGTAAATGCACAAAAGGCCACTGAATCATTCACTTTAAAATGGTTAATTTTGTGTTATGTGAAATTTACCTCAATAAAAAAAAATTTTTTTTTAAAAAGGAACTGGTAGCCCGATAGAATGGCATGCCCAAGAGAAACAAATGCCATCTAAATGTAGGCTCTAGGAATATCTTTTGCTCCTTTATGAACTTTGCTGGCCCAGAGCAACTGGGCCTCTTAGACGATTCCCTAAAGAACAATATACTCTCTATAAAAAACGCTGTTTCTATCTTAGCAGACACTGCAGGTTAAATATTATGTGTTAAGAATAAATTCTCCCAAGCAGAGAGATGAGTGAAAAATGAATTTGGAGAGATATCCAGACACTGGAGTTGCCACATCAAATACAGTCATCCTTTTTTGTCATTCATTATTCCTTGCACTTTAAAACATTTGTCTCTGGGTAGCAAAAATAGTAAATATGTGGGAGCCTGGGTGGCTCAGTTGGTTAAGCGGCTGCCTTCGGCTCAGATCATGATCCCAGAGTCCTGGGATCGAGGCCTGCGTTGGGCTCCCTGCTCCGTGGGTAGCCTGCTTGTCTGTGGGGAGCCTGCTTCTCCCTCTCCCTCTGCCTGCCGCTCTGCCTACTTGTGCTCCTCTCTCTCTGTCAAATAAATAAAATCTTAAAAAAAATAGTAAATATACTCATAAATCTCCCTTCTTAAAAAAACTGAATGAAAGTCACTTACCATTTTAAAGTGTACAATTTAGTGATCTTTATTGTATTCACAATATTGTGCAACCATCAGCCCTCCTTAGTTTCAAAACCTTTTCATCCCATAGAAACACTCCATAATCATTAAATAATCATTCCCCATTCCCTATCACTCATCCCCTGGTAACCTCTAATTTGCTTTTTGTCTCTTTGGATTTGCCTATTCTGGATATAGCACATAAAAGGAATCATAAAATATATGACTGCTGTGTCTGGCTTTTTTCACTCAGTATGTATTCAAAGTTCATCCAAATTGTACCATGTATTGGTACTTCATTACTTTTTATGGCTGAATTATATTCCATTGTATGTATATAACATATAACATACAAACTTGTTTATTCATTCATCCCTTACTGGCCATTTGTGTTGTTTCCATCTTATGGCTATTATGAATAATGCTGCTATAAACATTCATGTACAAGTTTCTGTGTTACCATGTTTTCAGTTCTTTTCAGTATAAACCTAAAAGTGGAACAGCTGGGTTAATATAGTAATTCTAATGCTGGGTTAATATAGTAATTCTAATGCTTAAATTTTTGAGGAACCACCAAACTGTTTTCCACAACAGCTGAATCATTTTACATTCTTTTTTTTTTTTAAAGATTTTATTTATTTATTTGAGACAGAATGAGAGAGAGAGAGCTCATGAGAGGGGGGAGGGTCAGAGGGAGAAGCAGGCTCCCCGCCGAGCAGGGAGCCCAATGTGGGACTCGATCCCGGGACTCCAGGATCATGACCTGAGCCGAAGGCAGTCGCTTAACCGACTGAGCCACCCAGGCGCCCTCATTTTACATTCTTAGCAGCACTGTACAAGGGTTCCTATTTCTCTCCACCTTTGCCAACACTTACTACTTTCCTTTTGAAATTTTATTATAGCCATCCTAGTGGGTACGAAATGGTATTTCATTGTATTTTGATTTGCATTTCCCTGTTGACCTATGATGTTGAATATCTTCTCATGTCCTAGCTGGACACCTCCTCTGGAGAAACGTCTATGCAAATTCTTTGCCCATTTTCTATCTTTTTATTGTTGAGTTGTACGGATTCTTTAAATATCCTGATACTAGTCCCATGTCAGATCATGAATCCCTTTTGAAGGAAGTAGGTCTCAAGTTTCATTATATTCATCCTGCAAATGAAGACAAGAAAAAGAGTTGAGAATCTTCTCCTTCAAAAAGAGCAAAGCAGGAATTTTATCTCTGAAGTGCAAGTTCTGGACCCATAATCTGATTCTTGGGCTAATAAACCACCCCAAACGCAGAGAAATATATCTATCAAACACAGATAGCTTACCTTCTGTTCTTGGCTTGCCTAAGACTGCCTAATTTTTGCCTCAGCAACGGGAGTTAACAGATTATTCATTTTCTAAGTGTTAATGGAGCTTGAGCTATTTTTATATCTGATGAAGAGTTTTGTGATTCTACACATCAACCCAAATTGCCTCACTTAATGGAAGTGATTTTAAGGAACAATCAGCTTTAAATGTGTCAAGGAAGGCTAAGTGCAATGTTTATCACCCCAGTTGCTCTAACCCATGGCAGAACCTATCACTTTAGAAAGGCATGCTAAGTGTTAAAAAGTCCCTCAAATGATTCCAATATGCACAACTCCATCCCAAACTACAGTTGAGAATTGCTCCCCTAGTAATAAGAACTAATATTTTTTTAGCCCTTATTCTGTTCCAGGCATTTCCTATGCACTTTACATAGACAAACAGCCTATGAGGAAAGATGTATTATCCCCATTTTACAGATGAGGAAACTGAGCTGAGGCACAAAGAAATAAAGTCACTTTCCCAAAGTAACACTGCTAGTAAGGGATGAGGCCAAAATCCAAACCCAAGCAGTCAGGCCACAAGCCTACACTTTTGATCAATATTATATTGCCTCACTAGTAACAGCCACCTAGAGAAGGATGGAACAAATGTGATCATCACCCAGAGGCAAGCCCTCACACATTTCAACAAAGCTCACACAATAAATGGATCTGATCACTAGACGGAGAATAAAGCAAATCTCATAATTCTCTGAAAAGTGATATTTGCCTTTCCTTGATGTGACACCACAAAAACACGATCTATAAAAGAAAAGGGATGAATTAAACTTGATCAAAATTAAAAACTGTACTTCAAAACACTTCATTAAGAAAATGAAAAGACAAGCCACAGAGAAAACTATCTGGGAGAAAAATACTTACAAATCATCTATCTAATAAATATAAATACATAAAAATTCTTAAAATTCAATAATAAAAAGATATATAATTCCATTTAAAAATGAGCAAAGAACCTGAATAGACATTTCACCAAAGAAGATATACTAATGACTAAGAAACATGTGAAAAGATGCTTAATATCATTAGTCATCAAGGAAATGCACATCAAAACCAAAAATGAGATATTGCTTCATGCCCCATCAGAATGACTACAATCAAAAAGACAGACAGTAAGGACATGGGGAAACTGAACTGCTCCCACATCGCTGGAGTAAAAGGCCATGACATACACAACGCATTCTAAAGTGGTTCAGAAAGAAAGAAAAACGAGAGGAAGAATGATAAAACAGAATAAAATACTAACAATAGGTGAGTATGAGTAAAGGGTACTATCCTTAGTCTTACAACTTTTTTGTGATTTTAAAATTATTAGTATCCTATTGCTGCTGTAACAAATTACCACAAATTTAGTGGTTTAAAACAACACAAAGTTAGGGTGCCTGGGTGGCTCAGTCGTTAAGCGTCTGCCTTTGGCTCGGGTCATGATCCCGGGGTCCTGGGATCGAGCACATCGGGCCCCCTGCTCGGCAGGAAGCCTTCTTTTCCCTCTCCCACTCCCTCTGCTTGTGTTCCTGCCCTCGCTACCTCTCTCTCTGTCAAATAAATAAACAAAATCTTAAAAAAAAAAAAAAAAACCCACAAATTTACTGTCTTACTACCTACCAAAGAAAGCTCTAGAACTTTTCCTTTCTTACATTATTCTTTGAGAGCCTATCACTTCAGTCAACCTGAGTTCACTTGCCAAGAAAACACTGAATACTGGGAAACAAAACATAGAGAACAAAGAAGAGCAGGAAAAGAACAGACGGGATACCTTTAAAGGCCACCCAATCTGAATTCTTTTGGAGAACCTTGAGTCATAAGCCTTCAGTCTTTAATTGTATTGGAAGCCATATAATTTATATGTAATCCTACTGGACAGTCTTTTAATAAATGGTGA